ACATCGACCACTCAGCGAGATAATCCAGCGGTACTCCAATCGTAAAGATATTCGCCGACGATCAAGTTGGACCAGAACCAACGGAATAAGCTCACGGGGGACCCAGAAAGTGGTGAAGGAGACGCATCGGTCCTCGTGCGAGCCGGCTTCGTCAGACAGAGCTCCAGCGGGATATGGAGCTTCTTACCCAATGGACTCAGGGTTCTTAACAAGATCCAAGCTATCATCTCACGAGAAATGGAGCGAATCGGTCGGTAGTCACTCCTTTCTTCCTCGAGACGCTTGTTCCTGATTTATCTCTTATCCCGTTACATTTTGGCAGGCGCCAGTGAGATCTCGATGCCCCTCTTGCAGTCCCAAAAGTTATGGGACCGCTCCGGAAGATCGAACCAAGCCGGACCAGAAGTCAGTGTTAACCTCATTCACAAACCCATATTAAAAGAAACGGGCACCAATGAATGAATACCTTGTTTTGTCATTAGTTATTCCGACTCAAGGATCGGAAGGGGTCCTCATTGCTACTCTCGCCAACCCACGAAGAGGAGGTGACGAACTTGGTCAAGTCGGATATTCAATCGGGGAAGCAACTGCCAATCAAACTATTCCACATCGGTTAGCCCGTTAGTAGAGACATAATCAACAGAATTTGGTTTCTCCCCCAACTCACTCGATCAATCTTAAAGAATGAAAACTAAGTACCCGGTGACTTTTTCAACTTTTTTAAGGGAGGAAGTTTCGCGATGAAGCCCGTCCACGAGCAGGACTATTGAGGTCGCGAGAGTTCATCATGAAGGATCTGTACACCTTCGATGCCGACGCCTCGGCTGCAATGGCATCTTACAAGGAGGTCCAGGAGGCATATCGGAGGATCTTCGAAACGATCGGCATCCCGTTCTCAGTAGTCAGTCCAGCCGCACAACTTTGACATTCGATCCCTTGCTGAGATCTCTGCTCCTTGCTTAGGCCGAAGCTGATAGTGGGGCTATTGGAGGCGCGACGTCTCACGAGTACCATTACAAGTCATCATGTGGGTCCGAAACTCCCTTGATTATTTCGGGCCTAAACTTTGGTCTATTATCTCACATACCCCTTTTTTTTTTGGTCTGGCCGTCATCACAGCAGGAGAAGACAGCTTGATCCACTGCACTCGATGTCCATACACTGCAAATCTGGAACTAGCACGGTCAACGCTCTCGCCGCGGGTAGAAGACCCAAGCCAGCTGCAAGTCCAGTTCTTTTCCTCCCCAAGCTCACGTCGATTCCTGGCGGCCGTCCTACCGGCGACCCACGAGCTGCATCCGCTCAAGCTGTCGAAGGCGTGTCCAGATATCCGGCCGGTCCAGTCGGCCAACGAAGACGTATTACCCGCGTTTGAAACCGAGTGGGATCAAATGGAGGTGCTCGTAGACGAGAGCTGTCTGGCGATCGAGCTCGAGCAAATCTTCGAGCGTGTCAGCTCCCAGTTCCGCCGCCAATTTCCGCCGCCCAGCTCGCTCGAGCTATCCCCACTCTCGATCTGGCCCAGCCTACCGATCTACACTGTCCACGACCTACGCACGGTGTCCGTCGGGGCCCCAGAGTCGAGCATGCCGAGCTCGTTCGAAGAGCGTGTCCCGACTGTGGCTCCGGATAGACTCTTCGACGGCGATCGAG